GTCCCAAGAGCAGCACTCCCCGCGCGCCTTGCTCAACCAAGGGCCCTGCACCTCTCCTGCTTCTGGAATGAGTCTGGGGAGATCCTGCACCTGGATTTTTATCGGTAGCTGCTCCGAGCAGTTCCAGTAGCTTGGGGAAGCGCCAGGACGCTGGGGGAGGGGAGCTCAGGCCCACGGGCCGCTCCCTACTCCAGCCTCACAAACACCCTTCTTTAGGTCATTGCTTGTTGAGCCCGTGGGTTCTAACCTTTCCTTTCTGTGGGTTCAGAGACGGGGTTCGGTGCACAGCTGGGGTAGGGTGTTCGCTTCAAGCCCACGCAGGAGAAGCAAACGTGGAGTCCGGTCCTGGCGGGAAGGGGCTGCAGAGAGGCCAGGCCAAAGGCCTGGGCCTGGTCAGGGAGGGGTGCCCGGTCAGCTGTGGGCACTAAGGCCCAACTCGCAGTAAGAATGGGAGAGAATGAGGAGTTCCTTGCTCCCTATCCCCAAAGCATGGGGCTGACGAGCAGAGAGCGAAGGCCTGGCTCCCCGGAGCCCCTTCTCCAGCTCAAGAACCCACACCCACGGTTCAGGGAGGGGCAACCCAGGACCCGACTGGGACAGGAGGCTTTCCAGGGCAAAGCCTTCCTCGTCACCGCCCCTCCTGGCTCAGGCTCGTCAGGTTTCCTGTTTTGAGGGGAAAACCAGCAAAACATAACAAGGCCAGAATAAAAAGGAGAGAAGAGATAGCAGGCCTGCTGGGGCCTTCTCATTGACCTGGGTACTAGCGCCTCGGCTCAGAGCTGCACACCCTGGTCTGGGCCCGTACCCGCCGCTGGCGTTTGGGGGTGTGTGGGGGAGAGCGGGGCCGGCTGGCTGTGTGTGCCCATCAATCTGCCGGGCGGGCGGGCGGCGGGCGGGCGGGCTGGGGGCTGTTTGTAACTTTGCTGCCTCGGTCGCCGCGGTCCCCGGGGAGCGGGCTCCGGCGCTCGCTCCCATTGGCCGCCGCTGCGTCAGCTGGTGCGATTTGCTGCTGTCGCTTTTGGCGTTCGGCCATCCAGAAACAAACCAGTTCGATGACTACTAATAGTTATAGCCAGATGTACTAATACACAACAAATCACGGTCCTGCAGAGGGGCGCGCAAATGAGTTCCTATTTTGTGAATCCCACTTTCCCTGGGAGCCTGCCCAGCGGCCAGGACTCCTTCTTGGGCCAGCTGCCCCTCTACCCGGCCGGCTATGACGCGCTGAGGCCCTTCCCGGCTTCTTACGGGGCGTCGAGTCTTCCGGACAAGACGTACACCTCACCTTGTTTCTATCAACAGTCCAACTCGGTCCTGGCCTGCAACCGGGCATCCTACGAGTACGGGGCCTCGTGTTTCTATTCTGATAAGGACCTCAGTGGCGCCTCTCCCTCGGGCAATAGCAAGCAGAGGGGCCCGGGGGAGTACCTGCACTTTTCTCCCGAGCAGCAGTACAAACCTGACAGCAGCAGCGTGCAGGGCAAAGCCCTCCATGAGGAAGGCAGCGACCGGAAGTACACCAGCCCTGTTTATCCCTGGATGCAGCGGATGAACTCCTGTGCGGGTAAGGCATCTCCCTGCTTCCCCATCCCAAAGAGTGTAGGGAGAAGAAAAAGCTGGCAAGGAGACAGGAAGGAAGGAAGGAAGGAAGGAAGGAAGGAAGGAAGGAAGGAAGGAAGGAAGGAAGGAAGGAAGGAAGGGAAGTAGGAAGAAAGAAGGAAAGGATGAACAAAGTTTCCTCTCTGTTTTGTTTTGTTTTGTTTTCAATATTTTTTAAAGAAAAAAAAAAACCCAAACATTCCCAGTGGGGCAATCAGGCCCAGCCAGAGGAAAGCCAGGGCCATGAGAGCCATGTAAGGTGACACTTTAAGGAAAGGTGAAGGATTCACTGCCAAGCCATAGGAGACCTGAAACAGGGGCAACAGAAGAGAGAGAACTGGGTGAGACTGAAAATGCATGCTCAGCTGCACCCTTGTGAGGCCCCCCAGGCTTCCGAGCGGAGAGGGCCTCTAGGAGGCATGGGAGATCAACCCCTTCACTCTCCTAGTCCTCTCTCTCCTGCCCTTCCCAAGTCCAGGAGCCCAGGCAGGCAGAGGCCCTCGTTTATTTCCTCATTTGACCTCTTTCAGTGTCTCCACCAAACCTTTGGAGGGCCACCTTCTCAGAACGTTCATATTCTCATTCTCTCTCTCTCTCTCTCTCTCTCTCCCTCTCTCCCTCTCTCCCTCCCTCCCTCCCTCTTTTAACTCCCACTAACTTCACACTCTTAGCCAGCTTTGCTTCCTCCTGAGACCCTGCCTGAGCCTCAAACCTGGCTTGGGAGGGAGCTCTCTCAGCCTTAGGTACCTCTGGCCTCCAGACAGCTCAACACAGTCCTACACTGCCTGAACCCCAGCAGCTCACCATCTCTTTGCCCCAGGTCTTCAAAGATCCCACAGGGAGTCTCCCTTCCCTTTGGAGCAGGACTTTAAATGGGGGACTTTAAAACTTAACAGTGTCCCTGCTCTAAGACCCACCCTCCCCGGCGGAGTGTTTTCAGATAGATCCCACAGCTTGCTTACACTCTGCAAAGATTGGAGAGGGCTGGCCATATTTATTAACCTTCCCAAACCACATCGAGATCCAACCCGAGGAGCCTCGACAGCATCTTCCACAACACCAGGGTGGGAACTCGGTTTCCACACTGCTCCCAGGATCCCCACTGCCCCCACAGACAAATAAATGCCACACTCCCTTGCAACAGTGACTTTTGGCCCCTCCGATTCAGACTGCCCACGCTATTTTATTTGCTTCTAGTGATTCTCTCACAGGCCACGTTTGTCAGAAGCAATTAACTTCCCACCCAAGTAGCTTTTAGGCGGAAAACACCTCGCTTGGTATGAAATCATCTTTGCCACGCAGCCGGCATTTCGGCCTCGGTTGAGGTGCTAGGGAAGCTGGGGCGGAAGGAAGGTGGTTGCCAGCTTAGAGACTGCTGGCTGGGAGGCCGGGGGCTGGTGGGTCGGTTTGGCCTGGCTGACCCGCAGCGCATCTCTGCCCACAGGTGCCGTGTATGGGAGCCACGGGCGCAGAGGCCGCCAGACCTACACGCGCTACCAGACGCTGGAGCTGGAGAAGGAATTCCACTTCAACCGCTACCTGACCCGGCGGCGCCGCATCGAGATCGCCAACGCGCTCTGCCTCACCGAGCGCCAGATCAAGATCTGGTTCCAGAACCGGCGCATGAAGTGGAAAAAGGAAAATAAGCTCATCAATTCCACGCAGCCCAGCGGGGAAGACTGAGGCCAAGGCAGGCGAATAGACTCCGGGGCAGGGACCAGGCCGGCGTGGTAACCTCCATCGGCTTTGCCCCCTGGTGCCCTTGCCTGCTGCTCCCCAAGTTTTCCTCCAGCCTGCTTCTCCCGCAGCTTAGGGAAGTCCAAAGCTTTGCAAGCGTCTGCGCATTTACTTATCACAGAAAACAAACAAACAAACAAACAAACAAACAAAAAAACCCGCACACCCAATGCCAGCCGTGGGGCAGACGCCGTGTCCACACTCACAGGTTCTCTCCCCAAGGCTGCCTGAGCCAGCCTGGGAGTCCCGGGGTGCGCCCAGAATTGGCCCTGCTGCTGCCTTAGCGCCTCCCTGAGCCACAGACGCGGGCTTGTTGGGGGAAGGAGCCCCAGGCAGTGCCCGGTCTGGGGTCTGTGCTTTCCAGCCTTGGTCCCTCGCCATCAAATCCTGAAGGGCATCGCCAAAGCGGCTCTGGCTACTGGAAAGAAAGGGACTCGGGGCCGGCCCCCGGCCCTGTCCCTGCCTCTCAGGATGCCCCTGAACAAGAAGCCGAAGGAACAAAGGGAGACTCCCCTCTTCCCCGAGCGACCTAAGCCTCTCAGTTAGTGGGAAAGCAGCAGCCCCCGCGCAGGCGAGCCAACCTGAGCGCGAGTGGAACGCCGCCACCTCGGGAGCGGAGAGGCTCCCGCAGGCTCCCAGCTCCCGCTTCCCGCTCCCTGCCTCGCGCAGCGCGGGCGCCGCCACCTAGCAGCTTTCGGGACCCGAAGTGGGAGCCCAGGACCACGGGAGCCGCGAGACTCCAGACTTCCAGAGGGGCCAGGGTCGCCTGAGAAGCCAGGCCTCTCACGGGGGAGAGCCGGCTCGCCACTCGGCCGCATTTGTGATTTACTTTCGTCTTTGGGAGCCCGGGAAAATAACGACGGGGATCCCAGGCACCGCCACGAAATGATTCCACTAGTTCCCGCAGTCTCCTCCCGGAGGTCTGAGAGAGACCCCAATAACTCTACCCGCGGATCCCAGCTTCCCGACAGCCTCGGAGGCCGTAGCGTGCCAGGGCCCACCCTTCGGGTTCACCACGAACCCTGCTACCTGGAGCCCGGGCCGGCCGGAGGAACCGGGCCAGGGCTTGAAGACATTCCAGGATGGATAAATAGGAGAATCAGATAGCAAACTAGTGACACGAAAAACATATCTCTGCGGAAGAAAAACCGACTCTTGGCTATACGAGTGTATGGAATTTGACCTCGCCTTGGAGAAGCAGTACACAAAAGCGCTCTCTAATAGATGCCTAGTCGTTTCAGAGCGGCAGGGACACTGTTTCTCATGCGCTCACAAAAACAGAGCCGTAATTGTGGCCTCTGCTGTGGGGCAGGATTTATTTCTTCAATTGGCTAAATCATCTTCCCTTCCCCGAAGGTGATATTTGTGTTTTCAAAATTCACAGCTGCTGGCTGGCCCGGCCGGGCCAACCGACCCCAACCTCTCTACACAGAAAATTAAGAGGGGGCTCCAAAGCCGGGGAAATAAAGTTGTTGTAAATAATTCTAAGTCGCCACCTCCCCCCAATCCTCTGTATCCTCAAGCCGGGCGTGCGATCGGCAGCTGACGGCCTCACAATTGGTACATCCTAATGGAACTGCGAGGGAAATGCAATAATTTTGCCATAATGGGCCGTAACCTCAATTCGACCCCGGCCCTTGCAGCCGGAGGTCGGCCGCGAAACGATGCGCCTTGCCTCCAGCGGGTGGCGCTCGAGTCCGGCTGAACGGCGGCGGCGAGGGGCGGGCACGCGCCCGGGGCGCGCGCGCCACCCCTCTCGCCTCCACCCAACTCCCCCATTAGTGCGCGAGTTTACCTCTAGAGGTCATCAGGCAGGATTTACGACTGGACAACAAAAGCACGTGATTCGAAGTCGTACCCCATATTTGGGTGCCTACGTAGGAGGGAACCGAGTACATGTCCCAGTCATTTCCATAATTCATCATAAATTGTGCAAGGGTGCTATAGACGCACAAACGACCGCGAGCCACAAATCAAGCACACATATCAAAAAACAAATGAGCTCTTATTTTGTAAACTCATTTTGCGGTCGCTATCCAAATGGCCCGGACTACCAGTTGCATAATTATGGAGATCATAGTTCCGTGAGCGAACAATTCAGGGAGTCGGCGAGCATGCACTCCGGCAGGTACGGCTACGGCTACAATGGCATGGATCTCAGCGTCGGCCGCTCGGCTTCCGGCCACTTTGGCTCCGGCGAGCGCGCCCGCGGCTACGCGGCCGGGGCCGGGGCGGCGCCCGCCGAGCCCAGGTACAGCCAGCCGGCCACGTCCACGCACTCGCCACCGCCCGACCCTCTGCCCTGCTCGGCGGTGGCCCCCTCGCCCGGCAGCGACAGCCACCACAGCGGCAAAAACTCCCTGGGCAACTCCAGCGGCGGCGCCTCGGCCAGCGTCGGCGGCGGCGGCGGCGGCGGCAGAGAAGGGGTTGGCACGGCGTCCGCGGCCGAGGAGGACGCCGCTGCCAGCAGCGAGCAGGCGGGCGCCCAGAGCGAGCCGAGCCCGGCGCCGCCGGCCCAGCCCCAGATCTACCCCTGGATGCGCAAACTGCACATTAGTCACGGTAAAGCCGGCCGGTCGGGGCCCCGCGCGCGCGTGCGTCGGCGGGGGCGCGGGTCCCGGGCCCCCTCTGTCCTTGGCAGCCCCTCTCCGGGCTTCCCTCCCAGTGTCCCCGCCGTCCTCCTTCCCCTGCCTTCCTCTGCACCTCCTCCCCATCCGGGCGGAGGCTGTCCGCAGACCCTGGGACAGGCGGGGGCGCGGGGTGGGGGCGAGGGAGAGGAGAACGGGGTGTCCGGGCGGGTTCAGGTGTGGAGAGGGGAAGGGACCCCGCCTGGCACCCCAGCGCCTCGCCTCCCGCCCCGGGGCTCAGGCCAGCGGAGCAGGGCACGGAGAGGGAGAGGTGGCAGCGGGGACCGGGGCTCGGGCATGTCAGGGCGGCTAATTGATGAGAAGGGCTACGCCAGGGAATTAGAACCCCCTAAAAGGGGGCTGGGGGGTCGTCGAGGCGAGGGCGGCCGGGAGTCTGAAGTTTGGGGGCAAGAGGAAGAGGGAAGAAAGGGGCAGGAGAAGAAAGCGGGCGCCCCAAGCGAGCGGCTGCAGCAGGAGGCGAGGGAGCTGGAACTTTAGCGGAGGGTGACCCGGAGGCCACTGGGGAACAGGGGGAAAAGGCAGCGCCTCGGAGCGCCCCGGAGCCGCTGGCAGCCCGGGAGGGACAGCTTGGGACAGCTCGGAGGGGCACGGGGAAAGCCAGGCTGTCCTTCAGGACAGAGCCCAGCCGCAGGTGGGCCGGCTGCTCCCCAGCGCCCAAACCCTGTTGTTTTCCTCTTGAGAAAGGAAGAGGGGAGGAAACTCGGGAAGGACGGTGGGGGGGAGGGGGAGGACTTGTTGAGCCTTGCCTCCCTCCCCCCACCCCCAGCTCAGGACCCTGGCTGACTCTCGGAACCGGGTGCTGGGGCGCTGGTGGCTTAAACCGCTGCCTTTTCTATTGCAGACAACATAGGTGGCCCAGAAGGCAAAAGGGCCCGGACGGCCTACACGCGCTACCAGACCCTGGAGCTGGAGAAGGAATTCCACTTCAACCGCTACCTGACCCGCCGGAGAAGGATTGAAATAGCACATGCCCTTTGCCTCTCCGAGAGACAGATAAAAATCTGGTTCCAGAACCGGAGAATGAAGTGGAAAAAAGACAACAAGCTGAAGAGCATGAGTATGGCTACGGCAGGGGGGGCCTTCCGCCCCTGAGTCCGCGGGTTCCAGTACTGAGCAGGGTTAGCGGAGCTAGCTCTCCGTAGTATCAGTGCTAAGGTGACGTTCCGAGACTCCCCCACCCCCGTGTTCCTTCTGTGAAGAAGCCCTGTTCTCGTTGCCCCCGATTCATCTTTTAATCATGAGCCTGTTTATTGCCATTAGAGCGCCTGTATAAGTAGGGATCTGCTTCTGTTCATCTCTTTGTCCTGAATGGCTTTGTCTTGAGAGAAAAAAAAAAATAGATGTTTTAACTTATTTATATGAAACAAGCTGTGTTACTTGAAGTAACTAAAACAAAAAAAAGAAAAGAAAAGAGAAAAAAAAAAAAACAAACACACACACAAAAGCCCCCCCCAACCTCTTTTAGTGCCAGTGTTGTGTGTTGCACTTGAGTTGTTTTACCGTGCATGTGCGTGGACGTGCTCCTGTCTCAATAGCTCCAAGCTGTTAAAGATATTTTTATTCAGACTACCTATATCCCTTGTGTAACTAATGCTGTTGTAGAGGTGACTTGATGAGACACAACTTAACTTGTTCAGCGTGTAGTGGCTAGTGACTGTGGCGAAAACTGTGACTCCAAGATGTGTGTCCCTGCGTGCCTTCGTAGGACCCTTTGCACGGACTCTGGAAGCGGCTCTTAGAAGCGCAGCTTCCCTGATGTATGTTTTTTGTGAACAAAGTTACAAATATTGTCCAAGTCTGGCTGTTTAAGCAAACTGTGATCAGCTTTTTTTTTTTTTAAATTTGTTTTTAAGGAAAAAAAATACTGACTGGAAACAAACAAACAAAAAAAAATAAACTTTCTATTGTAAGTTCTCTTGGTCTGATTTGTGCTAAATAGCAAGCAAGCGGCGCTCTCTGTCTGTCTGTCTGTCCAGTAGGGCTGGGAACTGTTGGGGCTGAGGCTACCTGGGCAGTCTGCCTGTTCATGGTGGCTCGCCACCAACATTTTGACTCACAGCCTTCCTTACTCTGAACCATCTGAAAATTCAGGTCAGAAGAAGGGGGGGGGGACTGGACTCCAAAGCCTGAGTCCACCCTGTCCATCTCTGAGGAAACCAAGTTAAGTTAGTGAGTACCGGAAAGGAGAGGAAGAGGAGAGAGGGAAGGCAGGGCTTTGTTAGCCACACGGCAGCCCACTAGGACCCTTCCTTCCTAAGGCTGCTCTAGGCCTGGCTGAGGAGGCCTCTCCGCCAGGTGGTGGACCCCAAAGCCTCTGCCCACTCACCCACGCCAGCACCCCTTTCCCACTCCTCCCACTGAGCCAGTTGGCTTCTTTTGCTACAATTAATTTGCTACAAATGGAAAGTACTTACCCGGTCCTAGCTCCATTGGGAAACTCCTCAGAGCAGCTAAAGCCCAACTAGAGATTTGCACATTTACCGACTGCTTACGCGGATGCCGTCTTTCCTTTTAAAAGTTATAAAACAGTAAACTTTATAAGCCCCAGTTCCGGCTATATGACATTTGGGTGCCAAATGAATAGGGTTTTGTCTATGAATTAGATCGTAAAATCATCCATAGCACAGACAGATCGGCTCACTGGCTATAAAACGTCACGTGGGGCCATTAAAGTAAGTTTTATGGTTTTGGGGAGTTGACATCCAACATTATATACCACATAACATATAATCTCACTAACGCTGGACTCCATTTGACTCTTTTGCAGGCTACGTGTGTGCTGCCTGGTCATTCAAATTGTCAGTTTTAGGTGCAGAAGTGTCCGAACCCACAAGTTCTCAAAACTCTGAAAAATGGCGCCCTCCCAGTTAAGGTAAGCTCTCCTCTTGTGTTTATTTGCACTCTCCAAAGTTTCTCGCTCTGTCATTCCGTCTGGCTCGGGAACGCTGAAGCTGTCTCTGAATTCAAAATGCGAGAGCAAACTTTTCCCCTCTGCCCATGCTTGCAAAGCCAGAGCCAGCTTTGTGGAGGCCGCGCGGTGAGCAACGCTTGCGGCCGAGCCTCGTCCCCAGGCCTAACTTGAATTGCTGCACAATCTTGGCTGTTAATGACTTCCGCTCCCGCCGGCGTGCAAAAGAGATGTTTTTCGTGAATGTGTACGTGAGAACGAGTGTGTGTGTGATAGCTTGGCAGCGTCCGCCACTCTTTTTAAGCTTGCTCAGGCCTAGGCTCTTTGGGGGTCGCGGAGCTCTGAGAGTCGAAGGAAGGGGCGCAGGCCACTGCAGTAGAGGCTGGACTGAACTGGAGAGTTTGAAAGAAAGGCCCGGGCAGGGCCGAGGCCGACACTGGCGGGATTCCTTCTGGGGCTGTGCAATACGTCTTCGCCGGCTAGGGTCATTTGGCAGGACTGAATTGAGGCTGCGGCCTTCGGGGCTGGGTTTCAGGCTAGCTAGGGAGAGTGAAGCTGTCTGGGGCCCTGGCTCTATGGCGGGGGCCAGGCTGCTGGTACCCACAGGATGCTGGGAACCCCACCTAAGAGGCAGGAGGCACTCAGTTTCTCTGCACCCAGCCAGGCCCTGAACCCTGTTCTCCTGAGAGTTCTTTTCATTTTGTTGGCTGCCTTCTCACCCGCCTGTGAATCTGAAGCAATAAACTTTATGGCCGGATTTAACTTTAGTCTTTGAATCCTCAGGCTAATTGAAAGGGGTTAAAGCGCTTTCTTTTCTTCTGCCTTGCCTTTCTTCTTCTCCCCTTCTTTCCTTTCCCTGCACTTATATCTACGCACAGGACCCTCGAAAGGCAACTTAAGTGGCTCCCTAGATAACACTAAAGATGGAGAAATGCGCCCCTCTTCAACATGCAGACAAAGTCTCTCTTCGAAAACTGTGCGTAAAGTTTTAAGGGAAATTGAGGTGTCTTCAATGCCCAACTTAAAAGTCCCCAGAGCCATTAGGTTGTTTTTCTTGACACATCATAAAGGGTAGTTTAGGAAGAAATTGCTCTTTCGTCAGTGGGAGATTTCCTCCTCTCTTTTGTTATTTGTGCTTTCCGTTTGATCCCAGGAAATTTACATAATCTATGTTTTCCAAAACAGTCTCCAAAATTGCACCAGTGAGTGAAGTTAGGTAAAATATAAATTTACCGGGTACAATTCCATCTGGGCCTCAGCCTCCCAAGTTCTTTAATGGCAAGCGGATCCTAACTGGAAACTTTCTGGCCCATCCTGGGGTCTTCTCAGGGTAGGTACCTGCCAGAGAACTAATAACACCCCCAATCTTGTCTGAGGAATTTCCAAATATATATTTAGAAATGAAGCAAAATAATAATAATAATAAGGGCTCTTCTTTTTCTCTGGAGCTAGGTAGTTTTCTTCAAGTACTAGTTGGTAAAGGTTTTTACCAAGTGCTTACAGAGAAAAACGTTTTGAAGTGTTGATTTGAAACACCAACAAGCATTATTATGCTCAAGTCTCCTTCATTCAATATAAATAGACAGAAGCCCCAAATTCAGAAATTCAAAGACAACAAAACCTAAAACGTTAAAGAGAAATCAGAAATGCTGCTTTCCCTGGATTGGGACAAGCAGAAGACTCCATGAAGTTATCTTGTGTGAACTGAATATTAGTGCTTCAGCAGTCATGAAGGGGGTCCACCTCTGAGGAGGAACTAGAATTTTAAAAATTGCATGGAAATGGGTTCTTACTATTTGATGTGTCTAAGAATGCTGGATTCTTTGTTCTTTGTTTTGTGGCTCTAAGTTTGGGTTATTAGATAATATTGGGCTGTGGTTCTGTTTTGGTTATATGTCTGGTGGTTTTGATTGCATAGTTTCTTGGTGGTTAAATAAGGAGGAAAAAAAGCAAACAAACAAGAGACATGGAAATGTTGGTAGGTTCATGGGTTCACCTAGGAGAAAGCAAGCGCCCACAGCATCTGTGGCCACACCCTGGGGTGTGGGGATAGATAAAAATGCTGATGGCATCATATCCAACCAAATACATGCCTAGGGATCTTTCCCACAAATTTAAAAAAAAAAAAAAAGCTGTGAGTGTTGTCAGCTTGCTTACTTCTGCCTGTTTTAATCTTCACAAGGCTTAAGTAGAATTTAAGAGGGCAGGTCAACCCACGTGGAGTTAAGTGACTTTTAAGAAATACAGTATCCAGTCCGATCTGGTGACTGTTACTGGAGGGAAATTTTTTTTTCTTTCTTACTATTTTTATGGGAAGCATTCTTAAGAAGGTGGTTGGGTATCTGTTCATTTGGTAGATGAGTTATATCTTCTTGTGGATTTTTTAAAATCTTTTTTAAGGAGGAACTTACTTAGAGGGAGAAAAAAAACCAAACCAAAACCTCTCCCACTGAGGGCCTTATGAAGACATCCAGCTTCAGCTGGTGGCAAAAATCTGTGTGTTCTCTTGTAAAAGGAGAAGGTGCCGGAAATGTGCAGGGCCTTGTTTGTTTCTACAAGCCAAAAAGAATCTATTCCCTCAACTAGTGAGTGCCTTAGGAAGCTCCTGGCCACACTCACTTAGGGTTTTGTTAGGGTTTCCCTGGTCCAATTTCACAACATTATGCCATGATCCCTCTTCTCCTGTGCTTTCCCGCTTTGCCCTGCCCTGCTTCATTTGGCTCTAGGAGAAAGAGAGAGAGAGAGAGAGAGAGAGAGAGAGAGAACAAGAAGACAGAGTTTTCTACCAGAAACAGTTGTGCTCATTTGTTGAGATTTGGAGACTGTTACATCCAAACAAGCACAGTACAGAAGACTGGCTGCCAGAGGTGAAGACAACTCTTTAAGCCTGCAAGATGCCCTTGGCATCTCCACTTCTCTGGCTGGGGTCTACTCAGGGCTTGCTCACCATAAAGAAGGTGGAATATGTTGGGCTTCAGCCCTTTGGCTTCTAAGGGGAGAGGGATTTTCCTCTAGTCAATGACAAAAGTATAAACAGGATGCCAAGGCCAGAGTGTGGGTTCAGCCTAGGCTCCCACCCAAACAGGGGAGGGACTCCACAGCCCTAAGCTGCAGGGCTGTTGTAAGGGAAGCCAAATTTGTTGTCTGTTTGCTTGTTTTCTTCTAGAATTTTGTCTTTCCCCTATCAGATCCCTTCCCTACAAACTGGCCTTTTCAATAATAATATTTGTTATGAAGGTTATTGGGTAATTATTGCAATTTTTGTAAAGCAGCCCTTGCTGGAGGTGAAGGCTGTCATCGCCTAACAAATGGCACCCACGCAGTTCACTGCCGGGTTAAGTAAATGCAGAGGAGATAAATCTGCACACCCTAGGAATCGCCAGCAGAGCACGCTTTAGTACAAGTTCACAGTCAACCGGCCCGCCTGGGCCAACTCTCCCAACAATTAAGGCTGCAGCTTTATTTTTAAATAAAACAAAACCCGCCCCACCCCCTTTGCCAGATCTCCCCCCCCCCCCCAGCCCCGTACACTTTTGTTTTCAAAAGATTCTCCAGTTCTCCCCTAAATTGTTCTTGTTGGTGGAATCCCCAGTGATTTCAAATTAATCTAGCCCCTAGATTCTGACTTAAAAAGAAAGGAAGAAAAAAAAAAAAAAAAAAAGAAGCAGGAGGCTGGCTTGACAGGAAACGTGCTCACAAATACACAAAAACTCTACACTCCATCCTCTAATTCCATCAGGCAGTGGTAGAAGCCGGGCTGCATGGGGTATAGAGCGCCCTTTCCCCTGAAGCAGAGGCTCCAGCGCTGTGTATCTTTGTGGTTAGTGTGTTACAACTGCAGGTCAAAAAGTTGAGGGTCAAAAGTTTACATTGTACAGCACTCTTAGTCATCTGCCCAGACAGAGCTTGATGTCAATGTTAAAGCTGCGGTCTTGACTATCAGCACAAAAGATAAAATGGCTCGGAGTGACGCGTGTATCACGGTGTGGACTCCAGGTGAACCCTA